GTTAGAGTTAACTATAGACCAGTAATGGTAAATTTTTACTAGTCAGGTTTAGAGGTATGGAGTGAGTTAAGTTCTGGTTCTGGTTAGAGTTAACTATAGACCAGTAATGGTAAATTTTTACTAGTCAGGTTTAGAGGTATGGAGTGAGTTAAGTTCTGGTTCTGGTTAGAGTTAACTATAGACCAGTAATGGTAAATTTTTACTAGTCAGGTTTAGAGGTATGGAGTGAGTTAAGTTCTGGTTCTGGTTAGAGTTAACTATAGACCAGTAATGGTAAATTTTTACTAGTCAGGTTTAGAGGTATGGAGTGAGTTAAGTTCTGGTTCTGGTTAGAGTTAACTATAGACCAGTAATGGTAAATTTTTACTAGTCAGGTTTAGAGGTATGGAGTGAGTTAAGTTCTGGTTCTGGTTAGAGTTAACTATAGACCAGTAATGGTTAAATTTAGGGAAAATGTCTGGGTTCGGCATAAATACAGTTACAAAAATGAATGGAAGTCAACACAATGTCCTCAGTTTGATGCAAAAACAAGGATGTGTGTGGTTGGTGGTGGTGGTGGGGGGTGTATTTCCTACCATATGAAGGCCATTTTTAAACTGCACACCTACATGTGGGTACACACATAGGGACTTAAGCCTAGTCCTCATTTGGGGGTTACRCTTAGGACCAAGGTGTAACTTTAGGTTAGGTTTTTAGGTGACTAACCCAACCTGTTAGGTTAGTGTTAGGGTAAGGGTTAGGCTGTAGAAATTAATGGAAGCCAKTGGAATGTCCCCATATACTTAGCTGAACTCATTTGTTTGTTTGTGTTCTTACTGAAGTCGGCCGGGTTGTGGTAGGTGGGGCAGTTCAGTCCGAGRTCTCTCAGGTACGGAACCAGACTGGACACCTTCCCTCTGTAGATGCACTGACCCAGGCTCAGAACGTACAGCTGAAACACAGAGTTCTGATTTTTTCTGTGGTCCACACATCTTGGAACAGCTGAAACAGTTCTGAAGGTTCTGCTGATTGGAGCTAACACTCTTTTTAGCTGCTATTGTGCTGATTTTAGCTTCTGTTCTGCTTTTTGTTGGGTTGTCTTTGTTTTTTTCTGTAATTCATGATTTCTTAGCTGGAACCAAAGAAGAAGTTTTGGTTCTGTAAGAAAATCTCAGAGGTCCACTGTGAGCYGGACCTTCTGGGCTCACCTTGTCAAAGAGCTCAAAGAGTTTGGCGCTGGGTTGGTGGATGGTGCAGATGACAGTTCGTCCTCCTCGAGCCAGAGCTTTGAGCAGAGAGACCACCTGGAAACAGGACGAACTGTCCAAACCGCTGCAGAGACACACAAACAAGTTCTGTAACAGTCCGATAAGAAGGTCTACCTGCAGCTCAGACAACAGTAAAAAGGTTCTGTTCTCGGCTCTCACCGAGTTAAACCCAAAGATCATCCCTGAAAACATCTGTCAGTTCTGACAGAACAGACTCATTGAGTGGTGAACTACAGAAGGAAACAGAACYGGGTCAGAACCGAACCTGGTGGGTTCATCAAAGAACATGACCGGAGGATTGTTGACGAGCTCCAGAGCAATGGCCAGCCTCTTCCTCTGACCCCCCGACAGGTGGGAAGTTCGGGTTTCAGCACAGTCTAGCAAACCCAGGGCCGTCAAGATCTCCTGGACCTGATGGATCAGAAACCAGAACCAGTCCGGCAGTTCAGACCCCAAGATCAGAGTCAGGACCAAGAACCAGTGTGGGAAAAAAACCTCACCATCTCCCTCCGAGCCTCCACTTTCTCCTGCAGCTTCAGGTTGGCTGAAATCTGCAGAAACAGAAGAATTCACATGTTAAGGATCCAGATTTCAGAGACCTGGACCACAGAGATCCAGAGTTCAACCCTAAAAACAACATATCCTATAGAACCCTGGGGTTCAACAAACCCTAAAGAGCTGATCTCAGACTAGTGGAAGGATCATTGAGGACTCTGACAGCAACCTTAAAGACCTGATTTCAGACCAGTGGAGGACCATCAGAGACACTGAGATGAACCTTAAAGACCAGGGGCCTCATGTATCAATTGTGCGT